ATGATATGATATACTGTACAATGATGGCTAATTGTGATAGTGAATGTGTGATAAGAGCAAAATTGGTGGGAGACATTTAGTAAATACTGGGCAGTGGTCATGATTCCTCCCCAAAGGTTTATTTTCAAAAGGTGGTGAACCCTCATGGTGCTCCAATTGAGCTAGTCAGGCCGCCGATCTCGAGAAAGCCAACCTTGAGCAGGCCACATGAAGCGATGTTCATTGATGGGTTACTGAATATTTGTTCATATGTCCACACTAGTGACCATTGCACATTAAATGGTCCTATATACATCTTGTTTGCTTTTGGTGAGCATCGCTTGCATGATCTACAAGTTAGATGTTGTTGTTTTTTTACTTCGGGAAACATAATATTTCCTATATGGTGTAGCATCTGGCATGCTAAGACATCGTGTAACTTGAACCCCCGAAGTTGGGATGCACCCCTGCGCCCTGGTACGCGTTGCTACAGGCGCTGGTCTCAGAGAAGGCCCGTAGCGACTCGCTGTCCGAGAGGTGACCTAGCAGGAACATATTGGTGGATTTATCGTGCAAACATCAAACATGGGAAAAAAATGGTAGAAGGGGGAAGCATTTCTTTAAAACAAGGATGGAGAAATCACCTATCTATTTATCCAACACCGACCGAACAAATGTTAGAGTAATGAAGAGAGAAATAGATGCTTTAATGGACACCTATAAACTGAAGGTAGAATTTCAAAAAGATAAGATATATCTTCAAGCGCTTAAGTCCTCTGTCAAAAACCATTGGAAATACACTTATCATATTCTAAAGAACTTTCACGACCTTAATTTCATCAATCACAGTAAGCAACGAAGATGCTGGTGGTTTCCTAATGTTGAACGAACTTTTATGTTTAGAAACAGGGAGTTCAAGATAAAAAACATATTGGAAATTTTCTTGCGTGAATACACCGAAGAACTGTTCAATGGTTATGAGAAATACTGTAATCAAGAAGAAATAAAAGAACACCTACAAAAAGTGATAAATACTTAAAGAAAAAAATACCTATATATAATAAGAGAAAATGAGTAGAGCAAAAATTGAGGTTATAGATATAGGTAATATCGGTTTATATGCTGACTTTGGTAGTGAAAGCGAAGACGATGACTGGGAAAGAAAAGCAATAGAAAAAGAAGATGAAGAGATTAGAGACTTTGTAAGGTGTCATCCTATGCCTTCACCAGATGATGAGGAAGGAGACAAATTTTGGAAGAAAGTAATTAACAGATTGAAAAACGACCAAGGAATAAATGCTATGATAATATATTCGTTTGTAAACTTTGACATTATGAAAAAGATGTATGAAAACCTCACTGATAAAAAGGTCATCGTTGATTGTGGTAAGGAACTTAACCGTGATGGAAAATGGGATGCTATGGCAATAAATCAAACTCTATTAGCATTAGCAATACATGAACTGAATGATACAGACAAACCTATCACAAGTCAAGTCAGGATAATTGAACACTGGTGGGATGGAATAGGAAAGTGGAAAGCATAAATGATTAATTCATAATATCTTAACAAAATATATTATGAAGTAATCACCCGCCCAAACACAAACACAAAACCCCAACAGTCTAAACAAATCCTACCCCCCTTCAATCCAAACATCAACAGTGAAAGTTAGGGGTAAAATAGTCCCAAAACCCCCACCACATAAAACATCAAAGGTAGGGAAGAAACATTGAACAATAACATAAAAACCATAAGAACCAACATAAACCCTTGGGATGTCCTAGCATCCCCCTACCATTTTTTTATGGGGGATCCAATAAAGAACCATGGGCACCCGGACCACCCGGACCACCTGCACACCAAGGTTTAGCGCCTCCAACGGTACCACCGAATCCTCCAAAACGGAGTTGTCCAACCAACAGGCGCCGGGTTGCCGCGATTTCCCTGCGCAGAAAGGGCAGAAAGGGCAGAAAGGGCAGAAACGCTCATTGGCATCGGTTGCCTGATCTATCCCACTGCACCTTAGTTCATATTGTTCAAGTCAATTGAAATGCGTGTTTTCCAACTCAGGGTCCCCAAATCCATTGGTTTCCGTCCCAAATTCGCTGGTTGCCAAAATCGAGAATTCAAATTCTGGTGGATTCCAGCGGGAACAGCAGAATGGTATTTGAGATATTTCAGATATTTCCCCTACCATACGTACTTCTCCACCCTTCCTCGTAAGTTCCGGCAGGACATGGCAGAAGGTCTTCGGTCGTCAAATCAACAGCTGCAGGTGCCATGGATTGCTGTGAATCATGGGTGGTGGTCCCAACAGACAGAAATCATAGTCGTCCTGGGAAAATAGTGGCAACATGCGACAGATTATATTCCCATCGTTTTGGGGGTGATGCAGGCTTGTGTATTTCAACAAGCTGCACTATCACAGGTAACCAATGGATTTGAGAATAGCATGCATGTCATATCCCAAATGAGAGGAATATGACGAAACATGCTGGCAACATAGCTGGAATGGGAGATGGGAATGGGTCAAACTTGGCCACTCCCAAAACACATGAAATCCAATGGTTGACGTTGGGATTTGCCATTAGAACCAGCACAAAGTCACCATGATGAGGATATGGATAAACTGTTTACTACATAGTCTGCCGGTAAATCCCGATTTAGAAGCTAAGCAGGAAGGGATTGGGTTCATCCACATCGATCGGAAGAGTTGGAGTGTTGAGCTCTGTCATCCATCGTGGTTGATATGCAACCAACAACACATGATTTTATTGGTTGACTACGCATGTTCCGCCGAGGGTGAGCTGGATGCAGAGCGAACTGCACGGCTGCAAATCTTGCATCAGTTGTTGCCTGGCGCGAACGGGGTGTTCCGGTGAATACGTCAATATGCTATGGATCAAAATCAAACACCTTAAAGTGGGTAGGTGAACATCCCCCAAATAGTCTATTCTAGCTACTGGAAACCATTCATTCCAAATAATTTGTCCCTTTATATGTATATATATATATCTCTTCAAGCATTTTTGTGCAGCGTCCTTTAGCTACAGCTTCCTGGTAAGTTCAAAACCTTATGAAAAAGAAGCGATATCCCCTAGATCCCATCAATAGTACCTGGTTCTGTTGCGAATTCGGTTTGTTGGTATTTATAAATAGTGGAACATTAGTACTAATCAATTCCACCTGGTTCGGTTTGTCTAGATCATATCAAGAATCATCAGTATTTCCATCAACTGGTGGAATTGATTCTTGATATCATATAAGATCCCCAACCGCTTAGACACGGTCATCAAACCATGGCTTGTAGGTGCGCAGGAATTCCCAGGTTGCTGGGCACTGTATCTTGACAGGTCCTGAGACATCGGCCATAGCCCTCAGGCAGCAACTGAAAAGGACAGAGTTGGAAGAGCTGAAAGAGGTTGGGCAGTGGGAATCCCAGGGCCATAGCAGCTGGTAGCGATGATTTCAGGAATTGTCGACAGTGCGACATGGATCTTACAACAGGTTCTGAAATTTTCAACCAGACTCTCAAAAGGGATTCATCACCTGCTGCGTCCCTAAGGTTGGACCGCGCAATCTCTCCCGTCACGCTTGTTCCCCCGAAGCCCTGACACGTGCACAAGGCAACTTGCACCGTTGGGTATGGGTCAAAAATGAGGTGAGGCCTTGAAAACCAAACATTGAATCATAGACTTGTCCTTTTTTTAGTATATAGTACTACACCATTCCTGATTCCATCCAAGTTCAGCAATCAAATACTTGACCCATATTGCACAGATGTTGTAGCCTTGGCCCAGTTTGGAATCTGCGCAGCCTGACTATGGGCAAGGATGCAGCATTGTGGACACAGCGCTGAAAAGCAGAGCATGTTTACCTGCCAGGAAGAGGAAGAATCAGACTTGGAAAGTCCTTGATATGTTAAGCTGGTAGGGGAATAAATTGTCCCTGGGTCAAATCGATGCCCATCTTCCTGCTGGTGGGGAGCTGCTAGCTTTGAGTCACCTGGTGATTGGGAATGCTTCGGATATAGCTGTTTCTCCTCTGCCTTTCCCACTTTAAACAGACAAGAAACAGAAGGAGACCAGAGCCAGCTGTTCTCCGTCCCTGCCGACTTGGCGGTATGCTGATCAGCGTGAGTTTTACTAGAGCAAGACATTTTCCGGCAAAGGTTTCTTTACAGAAAACTCCAAAACTGGGATTTGGAGCAAATGTTCATCAATATTCACACCAGTGCTTAGCTGCACTATTCCCAGTTAGACAAATTCCTTTCTTTGAAAAGCCGCAATCAACCATTCGATCTTCTGTTGCCGGCTTTTGTCGCATGTATGAGACCTTAAAAACACAAGTGATCCGAAACGCAGCTGGTGCCGATGGATCCGTGGCAGTGGAGCCGCCAAGTTCTCCGATGAGGCTCGGAGAAGCCATCGTCAGGAGAAAAACCATCACTGAAGCTTCAGCCTGTCCTGCCAGGCGGGTGGCCACTTTGCTGGCATTGCAGGCAGATCTTCCAACGATGATTAAACAAAGGCTTTTTGTTGTGCCTTGAGAAACTTTTTTTTAGAGGTAATGATGCTCATTGGGTAACACTTTTGGATTAATTGTTGATGCAACTCCAACTTCCTTTTGGATGGGGATGAACTGGTGGTCAGATGTTCTGACTGTGGTCAAGAAGTGTTCTTCTGCACACACAGACCGGCAGATTTTCTGTGAAAGGTGCCGACACAGAGCCAAAGTGCAGGGTGTGGTGGCTTAGCACTTTGTGGTGTGCTGTAGGGGCCCGGGAACGTTCGCTAGCAGCTGTAGAGCTTGCCGTTGTTTGGACATGCTGGCCAGAAAACAAAGACTACAAGGCAGGCATTGTATCTGAAGTATGGCTCAAGAGATGTACATCACTCAGTCTCGTGTCTCCCAAACATATCATAACGTATCCAAAAATCGTTGTCCCCTCTTCAGGGGCCATTTTGGGAGACACCGGAGACACCTAGTCGTTAGGCCATGGCCCGGTCCAGCCGGCCCAAGGATCAGCTTCCCTTATCCGAGCTCAGATGGCTTTTCAGATCCTCACGGGCAGGAGGGGAGCAGATGTCAGAGGCTACCCTGGAGGTGGCGCAAAGTCTGGAGCAGATGGGATGCTATGGATCGATGGAGCAACGGGTCCTCGAGGGCATGAGGTGTCAGCGGCTGGAAGTCTATGCCTTCCATCGAAATGCAGCTGCGGCATGTTGCACTCGACGATTTCAATGGCAGAGAGCCTTGGAACTCTTGGGACGAACGCTGAAACGGCGCAACATGAGCGCGGCGGTGAATGCATTGAAGCAGGCAGGCAGATGGCACTCAGCCTTCGGATTGCTGGCATCATTTTCTGATCGAAAGATTGAAGCTGATGCCAGTGGATGCAATGCTTTGGCCAGTGCATTAGAACGATTCGAATCAAAGTCCTGGCAGCAGCTCCTGTCATGGCTTCAAGGCCTTCCAAGGCTGGATGAGGACATGACCTTCCACTCGCTGTTGCGGGTGTCATCCTGGAGCTTGTCCCTGGCAGTCTGGAGGTCTTTGAGCCAAGCAGCCTCCAAGGCCACAGATTTTTCGGACTGCATCGGACTCAACGCCCTGATGTCTCCATTGGCCCGAGCAGGGCGGTGGCAGTACGCCTTGGGCGTCTTTCAGTTGTTCAAAGCTCTAGGGGTAAGGTGTGATGGTGCAAGTTATTCCACCGCAATGGATGCCTCCAAAGATAGTTGGTCAAGCGCTCTCGAGCTGCTTTTGCGAATGAAGTTTCACACACTTGCTCCATGCCGCTTTCAATACACAGCAGTTTGTGATGTTTGTACTGCGGCAGAAAACTGGGAGAGGGCATTGGATGTGTTCGATCTGTCAAAGGCTTTGGACACATGGGATGTTCTTCTTGGAACTTCTGGTCTTGCAGCTCTCTCCAAAAGCAGCAAATGGATGTCTGCTATGTGGACATTTGCCACACTGCCCCAAGTGTCTCTGCAACCAAATACCATCACCAGCACCTCAGCCTTGAGTGCTTGTGAGAGAGGCAGACAGTGGCAGATGGCCCTGCTTTCCATGAACGAAATGTTGGAGAAACGCCTGGTCAATGAGCTGTCCTTCAGTAGCACCATGCACGCTTGTGAGAAGTTTGGCCAATGGAAGCTTCTCGGATGTCTCCTTGCAACGATGACAGTGCCATGGAGCTCAAAGGAGCAGCTTTTGAGTTTTCGTTGGCCTAAGGATACCTTGTTGGTTCTTCCACCTTTTCCATCCTTTCCCCTTGTTGGTTACTGTCAGCCACTTTTCATACTTTTTCTTGATAAAAGGCACTGGTACCGCCAAGCGTCGCTTTGGAGTGCATGATTTCGTCCATCCTTTTTTTCCTGATCATTTTGGGGAAACCAATGGTGTTCGGTATGGTTCTTCTATGAAACCCCCATTTGGATCATTTGGGTTTGTTAAACATTTTTTGGGTACCCTTAAAATTCCAATGACTGTCATCATTTTATATCATTTTCCCTATGAAATGGCCACAAAGATGGCTTGAATCCCCATCAGCCAAGGCCATTGAGCTTCAAGGCAGCAGTACGGTCTACACCTCCGTCCGGCCTCCTGCCGCCGCCGGGATGCCATCGTTTGCGGAGACCCTGCAACGGACCGGTGATGTCGTCACTCGGGCGCTGAAAACGTCTCCGAACTTCCCACGGCCGCGGCAGGTTTCGGGTGTCATTTTTGTGGTCAAATGTCGGTTGGGGAAGAAGTTCACCAAGGAGAAGGGGGAAGATCCACCAATTCAAATTGAAAACACAAATTTTTATTGGGCCCTTCTTGGAAATTGCTGGGACATGTCCGGTGTTTTTGTGTACTTCCACATCACCTGCATGACCCCTTTTGTGTGCACATGATCTAGGGCCGCAACCGGCAATGATGACTAAGGGGCACAAAACCGACAATGAATCATAGATGAGATACTTATGATGAGTAAACATGATATAGGTAAATGTCCTGTTCAGAGGACTTTGGTCCTCACCACCTTGTGGTTGTTGTATCACCTTTGTGTAGTTCCGAAGCAAAACACAGATGCCTCAGATTTCTTTCGCAAATTTAATGATCCTTCAGTTGTCTTTGGATATCGGGTTTCCTGGCAAAAACTTCAGGGATTCAGGAGAAAATCCAGTGATTCTGCATCTACACAGAGGAACATTCTGGACCTCCGTTTAATCCCGACCAATCCCACAGCCCATCGATCACTCCAGGGCATGGCTCCAGGCAGAGGTCAAAACGGCCTGGCCGGGGCGTAGCCGCCAGAGTTGTGGCCCCCCGTGAACGCCAAGGGGTCGGAATCCCTGTTCCCGTGGCTTCATTGGAGACCGGGACCATCCGGGACCGCGGCGCCATGGATGACAAAGACATGCAGTTGGCCAAAGTCGTGGAGCTGTTCACCAAGTTTTCGAAAGATGGTTGGCGGCTCAGCGAAGGGGCCGTGCTTCCGTGCTTTTTGTGCTGTCCTGGTGGGTTGGGTAATTCATTCGGTCACAGTGCACAGAGTTTAGGAGCCTGCAATTTTCCAAAAGCCCTGCAATCCCGGGAAAATTGGAAGATTTAGATAGATTTAGGGGGTTGGTCACCGGTTGGTCCTTGGTTTTCTGGAGATTTTCCAAGCCCCAATGACCACCGTGGCAGGCATGGTTCCAACCGCGTCTTGGCGAAGTAACTCAGGTCTAGCAGAAACGCCGTCGTGGTACCCGCCCGGGATTAATGACTGATGTGGATATGTGAGTATGCATACAATACATTTGTAGATATGCTGAATAATTATAATATATTGATATATATATATATATATATTGATACTATATCTATATATGGCATACAGAATACACATCCACTTTGGGTTTCAAGTGAATTGCCATTTTTGTATCATATTTGATGTAGATTGTACATATACTAAGAACAAAAACAAATTACTCCATGAATAGATACATAAATCACACACAAAGACACATGTATATTATGCTTATTGTATAATATATATATAGAGTTATACAAGATAATTTGATAAGTGAAGAGGTCAACAAACATGTCAACAAAGTAAAGTAAACAGCTAAATTAACACATGTGTTGCACACCTCGAAACACCATGGCCGGATGCGCCGAGGCTTCACTGCAGCGAATCCTCTGCAGCTGCGTCCCGTTGTCCGAGACGGACGTGGCGCGGCTGGTCGAGGCTCGATGGCCTGAAGCGTTGACCCAGGGGAGGTCACGAATGAGCCCAATGGGCCCCCATTGATGTTGGGAAAATGAGCATTTTTAAAAAATGGAGTTAGAGGTACCATATTTTAAATAACCCTTAAATGGGAATAGATGGTTGTGAACATGCGGAATTCAAGGGACATTTACGAAGAAACGTGTGACTTTGTGGGGGATTTAAGACCGAGTACCAGCAATAAATGGAGATTTGACTGGCCATGAGTTGGGTGTTTATCCATGTTTATCCCAGTTGGGTTTGTCAGAAAATGGAAGATAACAACCCCTTTTTTTTGCCATGTTGATGGCATAAATCATGACCAGCCATCGGCTTTTGGGGGCCCAATATGGGGCCCCATGTTCAGAGGAACTGGTGAAACCTTGGATGCCTGGTTAGATGGTTGACATATTTTTACTATAAATTTATGGAGGAATACACTAACCGGCTAAAGGGAAATGTAAGGTATCTAAGATTGGGCATACTATGAAAAGGGATGGCTCTATATCACAATTTACAATGGTTACATACTTGGAGCCCTATATGATTCCAGCAAACATATGGTGGCTTTGATTTTTTTTAGCCAACAACTATATACAGGAAATGTCAAATAGCAAGAACATCAGAGAATGGTCTCAAAACGTGGTTTATTCATGTGGTTTGGGGGTGAGCTGTACCAGCTATTTGGACGTGAAATGTGTAGAGAATCTCAGCCCTACCAGCCCTACCATGATGACACATTGTCCCAGGCTATGGATACTCAGAAATCTGGAAAGGTGCCAGGGTGAGTGCGGGGGGATCAGCAATTCAGCCATTGAAAGATCTGATGTCACCAATGTCACCAAGTGGGTGCTTCAACTTGCACGAATGTGATTTCTGTCTTCGCGAAACTGGCCATCCGCTAGCCACTAGCCCAGGGCTTTATTGTGCGAATAGTTTCTAGATGTATCATGATGTATCTAGTACCAACAACTGAGTTATTCACCAACAAGATTCACCAACATACAGTTGCCACAGTTTTCCTTTTTGAGACCATTTATATAACATATATAACTTGAACCTTGAACAACAAACTGTTCTTTGACCATCTCAGGTCCGTGCAAATGATATCCCCAACTATGTGAACAAGATGCTCCGATGATCTCCGATGCCTGGTTCCAGCTCTCTGCACATTTGTAGCCATCAGAGGTTCAAAGATGATGAAATTCTCTCAGCTTCAGCAGATTTTCCTCGACCCAGTCAGTGATCCGGCTCTGATTTGGTGGAGCCCATGGGGTCGTAGACGCAGCCTTGCAGCTTTCCTTGATCGGGATGATGATGCTCCTTTGAGCAGCTCATTTCACAACTACACCAGCCACCCAACGCAGGGCTACTGGGCTGTGCCCAATGAGAAGTGCCTGGTCCACCGAAGTCTGTTGAGAGAACTTTATGGACCTGCCATTGGACCGGAGCACTATTGCGTGAACCAAAATGCGCAGAGAGACTTTAAGGCCTCCAAGGGTTTCGAGCCCACGCAGAAATGCTACGATCTTCAAAACTGCCAAGCTGCGAATTCTGGCCACTCATCGCATGGAAAGGGAAGGCCCCAAAGGCCTGTGCTGAGTACGGATCCTGACTATCCGAACACAGTCGTTTTCCTCACACCAGAGGCAGCCGATGCAGCTTTGGGCATGAAGTAGCGAGCACTTTGGCACCTGCACTCAAAGTCAGTGCAGATTCCGCGTTTTCATGTACGGCTCAAAGCGATTGGGTACAGTATACCTCCAAACTTGGATGGTGAATTATACAAGTATCCCAACTGAAGGAAAGCTGTAGATTGGATCTCACGATTCCCAAGATTTGAATCTCCATTTGTTCACGTGGATTCATTTGCACCTGTTTTTGAGGGCAAAACGACCTCAGATACAGCGGCCGGCCGGTGCGGCGCTTCAGATCAGTGAAAAAAGATAATCCCCCAGAATGGCAATATATGGCAATCAGAAAAATATAGAAAAATGATGACTACAGCAACCATAGCATTCTTATTGGCATTCTTATTGCCAATGGCATACAGTAACATACAGTAACCATCCATTGTCAATATGGATTTTCAGTTTTTTTTTTCGGAGAATCCCATACCACGTTACCACGGTCCGAAGAGTTGACTGGTTGTCGCTGGTGCCAGGTGCCTCTGCAGCACTTCATCAGTTGGATGTTCCGCAACTTCGAAGACCAAATCGAGGCGGGTGCGGCTGACCATGGCGGAGGGTGACCTCAATACGGCAATGGATTGGTTTAAGAGAAAATCTACAGGAAACCATAGATTTTCCCATTAAATATGGGGCTTTCCTGTAAATTTTCCCTTAAACCAATCCAGTGAAATACGGCAATTCAATGGATGGGTTTAAGGGAGGAAAAGCCCCGATTTCATGGGAAAAATCCAAAAATCCATGGGAGATTCTCCAATAAAAAACCAATCCATTGAGCAATGCCTCAAACTTCTTTAGCGATCTTGTGTTGTCTACGTCTGTAATTTCTAGCATGTGACGAAAACCACTGCACACATAATGTGTGGAGGGCATTCCCGACATTGCCCAGAATTGGTTGAAGGATGTTCTTTGGGGAGCATGAAAACAGGTTTTTGATCTCTGCTTGAAGCTATTTTTAGATATTTTTAGGGTGTTTCTTAAAATGGGAGGTCCCCAAAACCATGGGTTTCAATACTTAAATGGTCCTATTTTTGGATGATTACCCCCATTTTAACCTCTATTTGATCGGGAAGAGACATGAGAAGACCATGGTTTCCTATCCATTTCCCTGGCGCGAGGAATGGAAGACGGATGCTGAGTTGGAAAATTTCACCTCTATCTTGCCCAAAGGACCAGGGCTGTCTCCAGGAAAGCCACTTTTTCTTTTATGTCCAGCGAAAATGATGAATTTAGTATAATTTAAGGGCTGTCGCCCCTGCCGCCGACCCCGGAAGGACTGAAAGAATTCCTGAAGCAAACCCTCCAAGAGATGTAAAGCTTTAAGAAACGCGAAACCCGAGCGAATCCCAGAGAATCTCCACATGAAAGTCTAATTCTTTTGTGTTATTCTCGTCTGTTTGGATCCTAAATGAAATGAACCCTAAAGAAACCAGAAACTGACTTAAACAAACTATTTGTATGAAACTTTAAATAGCATCCTAAAGAGACCCGAGACGACACTCTAATAAGCTTTGAAGGAAATCCTAAATGGAACCCAAACATAACGCTTGGACATGTCTTACCATGGTTCCGCTCGTGCAATTAGATGGACTTTGGCTGGTATGTACGATGCAATGTAAAGTTATGTAGTGTAATTTTGTGTAAAGTAATGTAAATGTACTGTCATTGTAATTTATTGGAACGTAATGTAATGCAATGTAATGTAATGTAGGGTGTATGTATGTAGATATATATATATATACATAGACAATATAAGTAGTTAAATGCTACAGATATGTAAGTTGCTACAGATGTATACTAGGATGTTGTTCTTGAAAATAAAGACTATAGCCAGGACCAGGACGAAACAGTAACTAGTCTGCCGAATAGGCAGTGTCCTGAACAGGGACGTTTTTGTTTTTTCTTAATAGGAAACATATGTAGTCCAGGACTTTGTCCTTGGAGTTATATATATATATACCAGGACTTTGTCCTTGGAGGTACATATATAATCATATATATATATAGATAGATATATAAGTAGTTAAATACTACAGATATGTAAATTGCTACAGATGTATATTAGGATGTTGTCCTTGAAAATACATATTATAGCCAGGACCAGGATGAAATCGTAACTAGTCTGCCGAACAGGCAGTGTCCTGAACAGGGACTGTTTTTTTAATAGGAAACATATGTAGTCCAGGACTTTGTCCTTGGAGTTATATATATATATACATATACCAGGACTTTGTCCTTGGAGGTACAGATATATATATATATATATACATATATAGATAGATAGAAAAGTAGATAAATACTACAGATATGTAAATTGCTACAGATATATATATTAGGATGTTGTCCTTGAAAATACATACTATAGCCAGGACTGCAAAAACGTGAGTCCCGGACAGGGAAACACCATAGCAGTGAAGGACGGAGGCAGCTGCAGCTGCAGCTGCCGCTGCTGGTGCTGTCGTCCGCTGCTGCTGCTGCTGCTGTTGCTGCTGCAAGGCGAGAAACCAACAGCCAGACATCTTTTTCGAAACTCACTCGAAACAGCAAAACACCACCTAATTTCGTGCCAAAATGGCGCAAAATCGCAACAAAAAAGTGCCTAACGTGTCTTCTGAAATCCTAGAGAATCCTAGGGAATCCCAGACTATATGTCCCAGAAAAGCTTAGAGTACTGTATAGTACTGGCTGCCTGCTGGCTGCTACAAAAATGTGGGTCCCGGACAAACTCACTCGAAACAGCAAAACGCCACCTAATTTCGTGCCAAAATGGCGCAAAATCGCAGCAAGAAAGTGCCTAACGTGTCTTCTGAAATCCTAGAGAATCCTAGAGAATCCTAGACTATACATCCTAGAAAATCTTAGACTATATATAGTACTGGCTGCCTGCTGGCTGCTGCAAAAACGTGAGTCCCGGACAGGGAAACACCATAGCAGTGAAGGACGGAGGCTGCTCCTGCTGCTGCTGCTGCTGCTGCTCTTGCTGTTCCTGCGCTGCTGCTGCTCCTGGCTGCTGCTGCTGCTCTTGTTGTTCCTGTGCTGCTGCTGCTCCTGCCGTGCCATCAACCAGCCTCCAAGGCGAGAAACCAACAGCCAGACATCTTGTTCGAAACTCACTCGAAACAGCAAAACACCACCTAATTTCGTGCCAAAAATGGCGCAAAATCGCAACAAAAAAGTGCCTAACGTGTCTTCTGAAATCCTAGAGAATCCCAGGGAATCCCAGACTATATGTCCCAGAAAAGCTTAGAGTACTGTATAGTACTGGCTGCCTGCTGGCTGCTACAAAAACGTGGGTCCCGGACAGGGAAACACCATAGTAGTGAAGGACGGAGGCAGCTGCAGCTGCAGCTGCCGCTG